CTTTTGAAAGTGACGCGAGAATTGCATATTCGTAATATGCATTAGAAGTGGAACTGAAATCCAAATTTCGTCAATTTTGGAGCACTGGAACTATTTTAAATAAGTGTGATTACATTAGAAAAAAACACCATTTTAGCGCCCCTCGATGGTACTACACACTTAAATATTTTTTTCGTCGAGATTCAGACAGCCGAGTAGGGTAAATCCAAATAATGTCGGCCTAAGTGTCCTTAATTTGGGCCCATACATAAATTCAGCAATCGACTAAATTTTCAATAGCGACCAAAAATATTCATTAGTAACGTCCCAATAACGCGTTCACCTAAATAAAATTGATAAATAGCAGATTTTTAGCGATGGGCCCAATCTTAGATCCATAGGCCAACATCAGAAACATTTCCCCTAGTTCTGCAATTTATTTTGCTGAGATTCAGTAAAACAATTACCGAGACTCAGCTAACAAATAAGATTTTACTGAGTTATCAGCTAGCAAAAAGATATTTTGCAGAGATATCAGCAAAAGTAAATGCCGAAGTTATCGGCTGTTGGAGATTTTACCGAGTTAGATTAAGTGTGAAGTAAATGGGATTGAAAAAATATCATTGTGCTCAGAAAACAACGCAATTTCAGATGAAAACCGACATATTTTTTTCAAAATTAAAGAACTCAATTCAATGGGAGTCGAAGTGACTTTTGTGACGTGACTCTCCATTTTATTTGCACAGAGAGTCACGTCAACACGACGTGACTTTTCTCACTTCACTAGTGACAAAAGTCACTTCGACTCCCGGAATAACCCCCAATCTGAACAATGCATTACGTCGTGTTGCTGCCTAAAGCTACTTTCTTCTCTGGTTTAGAGAGTCTTTCGCTTTTAGAGATACTTTTCCAAAAATACGGCTAGGAGCAGGGGATGAGTCACTCTACCGCATTGTTCTAACATCCACAAAAAACTTACAGCGACACACTTCAAACACATGATAAGCAAATGTTTTAATCAATTCTGGCACAACTGCTAATATCAGTGCTAACATTTGAAAACGGCACAAAAGCCATTTGTAAACAAATGGTTTGTGGGCCCTTTACTCACTACTTGAAGTACACCCACGCGACACAACAGCAACATCGGGTAGGGGAAATTTTCCCCTTCCTGACGATGCTGTTGGTTTGCGTGGGCGTTCTTCGGGTAGCGAGTAAAGGGCCCACAAACCATTTGTTTACAAATGGCTTTTGCGCCGTTTTCAAATGTTAGCACTGATATGTAATCATTCGATTGTTTTGTAAAAAAAAAACTAAAAAAACCCTCGTGCCGTCTTGTGATAGCCGGGATAGATAAACATACTGGATCTGGATTGAAAACCTCCAATCCGATGAAAAGGGAGTCCGGAATCGGTTGAGATCCGCGAATGCAGCAGCATCAGGAAGAACAGGGTACAAAAAACGCAAACAAACAGACATAACACTCGCAAGTTGTTCATGGAACAAGCATTTAACCGAAGACAACAAATCAAGAAGACTGGCAACTCTTCCATTTTCTCATACAAGCGCTATAAGACAGGTACAATCGCGTCATCTGCCGCTTAAAGATAAATGCTTCGAACGAATTTGATAGCAAAGATTACATCTTCAGAAAAAGGGTTTGTGTGTTTGCTCATTCTATGCGTTGCTTCCACCTTCACTCAAGTGCAGCGCTACTGTATCTGTTGCTTGGATTCTGGCAAAGTTGCCAGTCTTCTTGATTTGTTGTCTTCGATTTAACGGACAATTTAAAAATATTGTAGTTGGTAGTACCGCCACCTGTGGCGCGCATAGTCACCTCCCTTGCGTTTGACGTTTACACACTACCGCCATCTGTTCAGCGTAGTGCCCACTAGACTGATGCAAAATTTTAAATTTTCGCTCCACAGTGCATAAAAGGTTCCAAATTGGACCTGCTTAGCCTCCTAAAATTTGAACGACTTTAGTAAGAAACTGACTTGGCACAAACCATTTCAAGTTTATATGAGTATTACTATGGGAAAACTTATATTTTTGTTCATATCTATTTAACAATACACCACATCACTATGCTTTTAAAAATGATAGCAGTGATTGTAGCAAATTTTCCCAGCTACAACTGTTGAAAACCACTTTTCAATCAAATGTAAGAAACAAACGTTATTAATGATTCAAGTCACTAATGTCTTATGATTATGCTCATTCGACTGTTCAGCAGGCAACATTGGTGTTTCTGGTGCGAAGAATAGAGCACAAATATCATGGCTACTATGTCACACTGCAGAATACAGTGTTGCCTACAGAACAGCTGCTTGATCATGCCATAAGATTATCAATCTCTTAAACAATTAATAACAATTTAATTTGACATTTGGCTGAAAAACGATATTCCGCAAAGTTGTAGCTTAGAAAATTTTCCTTTAGAATAGGGTTTTTGATCTAATTTCCGTCATACTAAGCACAACCCTCACTTTACCCCTCTTTTTTGGACGGGTTTGAACAAAAAATGGCATATTTCTTTCAAAGATTACTTCTAAATTTATTCACCTTTCCATACGTACTGTTATATTTGATAAAGAGTCACAAATTGTTGAGATATTGTTTAAAATCTAATACTGCTTCTTGATTCTAAATTCGTTCTACGAGTTTCAATTCCGTCCTAACGCATTGGAACGCCATTAGATTTTCTTCTTCCTACGGATAAACGTAGAAAAAAGGGATTCGCTGGGAGCGCTTCTTTTGTTTTGAGAACAATGAGCGTAAATATTCATACAATGCGCTCTAATAGGATTAATGTTGTAGCTAATGAACTAACTCATCGGAACAAACCTATTATTGATTTGTGCACAGTGAAATCATTGATATAATTGATCTTTTCTGATCGATAGAACGGAAATGGGCGATTACGACGAAGTAGCGCTCTACCCTAGTAATAGAAAATTTCGAAAAAGGAATATGGAAAATGGGTACAAGACAATGATCAAAAAGTTTGGTTTTCCCATAGGAATTTCCATATAAACTTCGAATAGTTTGTGCCAAATCAGTTTCTTACCAAATGAGTTTAAATTTTGGGAGGCTAATCAGGACCTGATTTGAAACTGTTTGAGCACTGTGGAGCGAAAATTTCAAATTTTGCATCAGTCTAGTGCCCACCACAGTGTACTCAACAGATGGCGGTAATGTTTTAGCGACGATGTTTTACAGTGATAAATATTCAATGAGTTATGTCTGTTTGTCTGTGCTAAAAAGTTAAAGATGTCTTGCCAGAAAACCAAGACAAACGTAACGAAACAGTTTCTGATTTCTGAATGTCAGTGCTGTTCTCACAGCAGCAGCCCTCCCAATTGACGAGTGCACGGATGGATTTGAGTTCACTCACTCGACAAAAAGTGACACAACAGCGGGGCCCTGTTTACTAAAAATGAACACATATATGTTCATTTTTAGTAAACAGGGCCCCGCTGTTGTGTCACTTTTTGTCGAGTGAGTGAACTCAAATCCATCCGTGCACTCGTCTATTGGCGTTGACGGCACCGTCGAAAAATTTTCTCTTTCAGTAAATATAGACAGTTTCTTATGAGAATTTTCGGTGGAGTGAAAGGATAGTACAAAGTCCGCCATGTTTCACGCACAGTCTGACGTTTGCTTATGGATTTTCTCATAGGAGTAAAGAGCTACAGAGTCGCCGTCAACGCCAATTACGGCAGATAGCGGGCCAAAAGTGATAATACAAGTCGGCTCCTCGTGGTGTCACGTTACGCTGGAATGTGTCGAAACGGTTAACGGTTAACGGATTTTCCTATAATATGTTATATATATATATATTATGTTTCGAGGGGTGCATTGATTAGCTTGGGGACCGAAGATACTACCAGAGCTGAGCCAAAAAGTTGAGTACGGTTCTTCGGGACCTACTAGTCTTAGAGTTACCTCTATTGTTAAAGCCTGTTAAATGTATGATAGAGAGAATAAGAGTAAACAAAGCTGAAGATATTTTAATCTATTCAATCTTTTTTTATTCATAAATATGTATTTATAACAGAATTCCACATAGAATCACTCTAACGTCAATGGTTATGGTTGTGTCATGTGTGTACGGGTGCGGTTCATTTTGGAAGCATTACACACCGCATGCGCATTTAGTTCTACGCAAGCATTTTCAAACTACGCTGTAAATCTTCGCCGGCCTAAAGTAGCAATATGTTGATGGAAGAATGTAGGACTTTTATGCGATCAATTTGTGCCAGGGTTTTGGTGCGAAATCCGTCTAAATCATGGGAGATTTTGCTGCACGGATGATATGCTGTCTCTCTCTCTAAGTATAGTTTATTTCTTTGATGTCATTGATTTTAATTTGAGTGAGTGTGTGTGTTTATAAATGTTAAATCTCTTTCCAAGGTTTTTGTTCAAACAACTGTCACAGTGGTAATATCTTTTTGTAATCTAGACGTTGGAAGAATATTACTAATACTTTTAAGTAAAACCATCTTTTGCTATAAGACGCATTCTACGTGACTTTACAGTCGTTTTTGTCTGTTTTTTCGACAGGTTTTGTAGTGTAACTGAAATATCGTTGTAGATTTGGATAGTGCGTAACATTTCCTATAACAATTGATCAAGAGTTTCTGTTTGAGTAACTCAAATCGTTTTGGTCAGTAGTTGAGAAGTGCTAACCGTTGTAACGCACGCAACATAGTCACTCACCAAATCATTTTAAGCAACTCAAATCATAAACTCACGATCCATTCTTTTAGGAAATTTATCCCACTTTCCAAATGGATACGTCCTGGTAGAATGTGTCATAAGAGCGGTGCTTAATGCATCCGGATTTGCTAAAAGTCCTCTAACGTAAAGAGTCTGAATTTTCAGGCTCTTTACTCTAAGGCTGTGTCCCAATTGCCGAGTTAAATTTAACTCGCTGTTAAAAGTGACGATTCTAAAGTTATATTCAATGTTCGAAAATCCTGGTGTTTTCGATCGATCGGTTAACAGCCAAATTCTAGTCTGTCAGAAATAACCACGGTCGGATATCAAGGTTCTTCTTCTTCATTCCTTTTATTTAACGTCGGTCTCTGTTCCGCAAACTAGTGCCAATCACCGGAGACATCGATTGCCATCCATTGACGGTAATGGAATGTGCAGGAAGGCAGCTACCACACCCATTCAAAACACATGGGCCAGGACCAACGGTTTTACTTCCCTTCCGAACGAAGACGTGACCAGAGATTTTTATGCCTCAGTAAAACTTCCACCAACCTCGGCTGGGATTGAACGCAGACCCATTGGGGTGAGAAAGCTTTTACGTTTACTACTACACCACCGGCCCCGGCTATAGATAGCACGGTTATTCGATAACTTCCCATGTCACTTTTAACCACGCCACGAGTTAAATTTAACTCACCAATTGGGATACAGACTAAGTAAAAGTATGAACGTCTGTCAAAAATTGTTCCAATCGAACCCTATCGAACCGTCAAAATTCACTGCTTTGCTCGATTGGAAAAACTTTTTTTTTCAGTTTTATGGTGGCAGATTTGATCCGTTGCGGCAAAGTGACAGCTAGATCTATTGTTAGACTGTCAGATTAATCGTATCGTATCAGATCCGCCGGATGCAATGTGCGTGCCACTCGATAGAGTTAGATATTTGATACGTGACTGATTTACGTTTCCGGATAACGACAGTACGCATTCCCTTCGACAGCCTCAAGCGGTATCCAGTCTTCAGACAGGGGAAGACGATTCTTGTTCATTTCAACCTAGAATAAATAATTTAGTGCTTGAAAAACATAACTCAAGGAAAATGCAATCCACCGTCCGGCGTACCTCTCTCAGTACTCGAACAATGTTTCCCCCAACCAACTTCTTGATTGCAGCCGAGCCCCACAATCTATCTCGAGCCAACTCCGCTAGCAGCAGAGGGTAGTTCTTCGGTGAGCCACTCAGTCCCAAGTGGTCAACCCCTGCGATTACCCGAATGTAGTTGATGGCAGTAATGGCGTCCTTCAGAGTCATCGGTTTATCGCCACATCGTTCAACGTTCAACATGAGAACTCCTCCGTTTTGCGAGAGGGCGCTGTAATCAGTGGTTGATTATGTTTCGTAGGAAAATCCTGGGAGCCGGTTCACTTACCTCATTATATGATCCGGTACAGCTGCGGTCGAGCCATTACAAGCCATCGAGGAAGGAAGTGCATTTGACAGTAGCAGAGGTGCTTTGGCGACATTCAGCGCCACCATCATTGCAGGTTCGGAGAGTCGTGAAATCTCGACCAGCATGCCGAGGCGATTCATTTCCTGAATAACAACCTGTAACAATAAATCCCCATTGTTTCTGTGGGTTATCAACTCTCAACGAGACTACTTACCTCACCAAAATTGGTCAACGTGGATGGAAGATTTTCATCGAAGAAATCCGTTCTAATGGATGCACTAGCCCATGGAGTTGTGCAGCCTATCCCAGTTAACGATACGAATCTAGCACCAAGTGAATACATCGAACGAAGCACGGCCAAACTCGATCCCAGCGTGTGGCCACCTTCCAGCCCAAATAGTATCGCCAACTTACCATCGGTGTGGGCTTGCTCCATGGCATCTGCACTTTCCACAATAACCATATCGGGATTTTTCTTAACCATCCTCCTAGCATCGTCGATACCTTCCAACGTCAGCTGTACGGCGTCCAGATATTGCGCGGCACAGGGAACTGAAATGGGCCACAGCAAAGCCCCCACCATACTGTTCTTGATCTCGGCGTAGCTCTTGCTGAAATTCGCGCCCATTTGTGGTGCCCAGTAACCTTCTACCAGTGGTGACTCCACCAGAAGTCGCCGGATGAAAGCTAATCGAGCTTCCAGCAGTGAGGAAGATCTTAGCTGAAGTCCCAGCGGGATGCCAGCTGCCAGTGCAATGCAAACCAACAACGCAGAAACCGCAGCGATTATCTTCCTCGAGCGCCTGGTGTTTGGCACCTTCGGCGGTGGTGGCGACATGCTGTCCTTCTTGTACGAGTGAATGCTACCATTCTTGATCTTCTCCGGGTACTTGGTGATCTCCGGTGGTAGATCTATGTCCGCAATCTCGGTGAACACGAAGCAGTGCTGCTTGCAGGTGGGCTGGTGCTGGTGGATTGTACCCAGCTCCATAAAGTCCGCATGGTTCGGCATCGAGTTCATCTTGCGGTAGTAATGGTAGTGGACGCGGCCTTTGCTATCGCCGCCCGATGAGATTGCGGCTTCCGTGGTCTCTGGCGGGGAGGAATTCAGCTTTGCAGACTCAAGTGAGAAAAACTTTTCACAAATTGCCACACAGGATGGCTGTAAACAAAGCAGATTATCCTCTGTTTTTCCTCTATTGACAGGGCGGAAGGATTTTCCAGTAGATTTTCCGCGGACATGCGCAGAAGCGGGTTTTCATTTTATAGGGGGGAAAGAATGCAATCGTTGTGTGACCCGTGAACAACGGATTGTTCAGGATAATAGTTTAAATGTTATTTTAAATTGATAATTTTGCATTGCGGGAAAATGGCGATCATTTCTAAATCCGTTTGATGTCATTTTTTTGCATTTGAGCCATTTGATATTTGACCACGTGTTCACGAGGACCACGAATGAAGTACTAGAGGTACTGACTTTTTGATTGAATTTTCATTCATGCTCCGATTCTTCTCCAGCGGATGTAGACAATTTTGAATGGAATGAACATTAGACTGGTGCATCAATATAATACACGGATTTTTTTTTGTATAATGTAGAAATTGTTTATTTTCCTTTAAGGATGTTTACTGTTTGCTTTTATTTGCTTGCCCAGATTCTTGTTCAGCGGTTGTAGACGATTTTTGACTGATCTGGCAAGTGGCACATGAATAATAGGAAACTCGAACTTTTGATTAGGATACAAATCTGGACATGGGCCCCGGAGAAGAACCAGCCTGCTGCTGAACATATGAAATCAATCAATCAATTAGGACATGGTCGTCAGATCCCCGTCAAAACAATACTGCGTAATCCTTCTAGGCATCGTCTCTGCATCTGGGGTAGGACGTGCTGTCAAATCAGCCTACTGATCATTCTTGTATGAAATTGGTTCCAAACGTAAACAAACCCTGTAGGTTTCTTTTGGCTTGTTTACGTTTGCAACCAGTTATGCGAGGTAGGCGACGATTGTTCGTATTTGACAGCCACCCTCCCCCCTTGGGTGATACAAGAGACTTTTCTCAGTGGAACTGACAGCTAGAAATCTAGAGTGTGTGAGTAATCTGGTGTTAATGGTGCTGAATGTAAATCACCGACAAACCGACATGAATGACCATAAAAAGTACCATCAAATTTCTGATTAAAGAACAAAACTGACATCTGCCACCGTGTTCGCGAAAAATGTGTATCCTAGCCTCGAACACACATACAAAATGTATGAGTTGGTTCGTGTCCAATATATTCCGGGCAAATTATTTTTATCTAGATAACAAATTTCTATGGTTTTGACAGATGGGATCGCTGCACATTTGAATCCGCCGTTATGGATTCTCGATCAAGAGTAAAGTTTAAGTTTCATGTCGGTCTGTCGGTGTGTAAATATAAATGTCTTGACTGAACCGAGGTTTCCTACCTTCTCGGAGGAATTTCTTCTACCTTTTTGGAGGAATCTTCTAACCTCTCGGCGAGGGGGACGACTCTACCTACGATGCAGAAAAGATGGTGTTTTGCTGTTGGTAGCTGCGCACACGCTGAGTAGATAGAAAGAAGATTGACGACGATTCTGAAGATTTCCTGTAAAAAGATGATGTGCGATGCAAGTAGATGCGACAAATGAAAGAAGATTTTTCGAAGATTGATTCGCTAGTGTGAGATTGTTGAGCATCTAAACTTGAGATTTAGATGTGTCACCCCCCTCGCCTCTCGGGGGAATTTCATCTACCCTCTCGGGGGAATTTCATCTACCTGTTCGGGGGAATTTCCTCTACCCTTCGGGGGAACTGCTTCTACCTTCTTGGAGGGATTTCTTCTACCTTTTCGGAAGAATTTCTTCTACCTTCTCGGGGGAATTTCATCCACCCTCTCGGGGGAATTTATTCTACCTTCTCGACGGAATTTCTTCTACCCTCCCGGGTTAATTTCATCTACCCTCTCGGGGGAATTTCATGTACCCTCTCAGGGGAATTTCAACCGCCTTAGGAAGCACCAGTGTAGCATCAACAATCAATACAAAACTAACGATTTTAAATTGGCTCACCACTTTAGTAGCCTATTGGTCCCAAGCAAACGATTAACGTACCCTATTCTAGTCGAAATTCTAGTACTACGCAATGTTTGTTTTGATTCGCTATGAAAGTTTGACAGATAAAATGAGGGGTTATTGGTTTTTCCTATGTTTCGAGGGGTGATTCGACAAGCTTGGGACCGAAGATAGTACCAGAGGTGAGCCAAAAAGTTGAGCACGTTTCTTCGGGACCTACTTGTCTTAGAGTTACCTCTATGGTAGCATCATAGAGGTAACTCTAAGACCACTGGGTCCCGAAGAAAATCATTATTATTTTTGGCTTACTCAGTACCAGAACAACGGTCCCAAGCAGTCCCAAGCTATTTCACTCACCCCTGCATGTTCTGCATGAATCCACACACCCCTGATGTTATCTGTCAAACTTTCATAGCGAATCAAAACAAACATAGTGTAGTAATAGAATTTCAACTAGAATAGGGTACGTTAATCGTTTGCTTGGGACCAATAGGCTACTAAAGTGGTGAGCCAATTTAAAATCGTTAGTTTCGTATTGATTGTTGGTAGCATCCTCGCAAGAAAGAGGATGGTTGTCACTTACCGAGTTGTGCCATAGAGATAAGTGACGTTTAACGCACGCACACTAGCGGAAGCAACGCCGTTTAAAGTTGTTTATTATTTTCCTCTGGCTAACCTAAACAATGTATGAAAGTAGACCTGTCAAAGTTAGTTTGACATCGATTTGTTATGTATTTTTTCGGATATTCACTAACACGCTCTCACATATCGCACCAATACAACCGGACGTGAAAATATCAATTGATCATTTTTTCAAGCTTATGCATTCATGTTCCATCAGATGTCACAGCTATTGTTTGCGGTGACATCTATCGGAAACTAAACACAATCTGTTTTCCTATAATTGTTCACAGAGGACACTGCAGTGCAAAACATGTATGGTAGGGGAAACGCTCCTATAGTTGCGGTACGTTAGAAGCGTTAGGTTCCTATAGTTGTGTATGGAGTCTCCATACACAACTATAGGAACCTAACGCTTCTAACGTACCGCAACTATAGGAGCGTTTACCCTACCTCTATAAATGCATTTAGATTATTATTCGAAGTCCCTCCTTTTTTACACATTCTGCACACAAAATAGCTCACCCCTCACAGAATTTCCCGCCGAATTTTATTTATGGAGCATAATGCCCCATAAAGTATCTTTTGCGCAGAATATGTAAAAAAGGAGGGACTTCAAATGTTAAAGCAAATGCATATATAGAGGTACCAGACATGTTTTGTAGTGTCAGGTACTCTATTTTGTAATCTGTGAAAGGGAAATCACAAATCGAGTGTCAACAAAATACATGGCATGTTGAGAGATTGAGGTCGTGAGAGCAAATTTTCTCTATCAAATTGGAATTTTTTGGTTCTCTGGGAGCTGGTTGTAAATCAGGTAAAACTGTATGGGGAAAAATCATTTTTATTAAATTGTAGGTTGCTTGACAAAAAAATCCCGGGAAAAATCTGAACTACAAAGTCTCTGATTAATTTCTTTAGGGTTGTCGTTCACTTTTTTGACCTGAATATGCCTCGGAATATGCACCGAAAGCGAATTATTCCCACTTCTCTCAATTTCTATATGGGGATTTTTATCACTTCCTAAAAGCAATAATAATAAATAATAAGATTCTTTTGAATTGGTCGCGTCGCATCGCGAAACGCGTCTACCCTGGCCGCGGCCTAAGACTAGAAGGTCCCGAAGAAAAGTGTTGACTATTATACTTTATCTTAATTTTTTTAAGTATTTCAATGTTTCGGTTATGGTTCACTTGTTTTTCCTTGATTTGTTTTCCGTGCTGAACACCAATGCCACCAACAAACCGACATGAATGATCATGCAAATTGCAACGAAATTTCTGATCAAAGCACAACACTGACATCTGCCGCCGTGTTCGCGGAAAATATTTATCCACACGCGTACAAAATTTATGAGTCGGTTCGTGTCTAATCTATTTCGGACAAATTCAAGAGGTAAGTCTCTCAGCACATTGTGCTGAAATTAGAATCGGCACAGCTTGGGCACATCCATCGGTACACCTTCGGCACAATCTTGTAGGCATTGAATTGTTGTAAATAAAATGGGAGCACTGCTGGACAACTGTCGTTGAAGTTGTTCACAACATTACGTGATGTTTGACTGTATTTTCAGGAAAATTCTCTAATTGAGTATACAAGAGGAGCTCAGACCAGGAGTTAACTTATACAGCTATCCCCCAAAGAACGAGCTACCCACTGAGTAGCACCCACCGCTTTTTCTCGGCGGTGTTTCAACCAGTCGGTCTGATTTTTTGCATGTGAGTAGTGCCAATGGAGAACTAGTCATTCACAGAAAATCAAAGCGCTTGGTTGAAAACCCACCGAGACAAAGCGGTGGGTGCAACTCAGTGGGTAATGCGTTCTTCGGGGGAAAGCTGTAGATCTAAATATGTAATGAAGGCTCTAGAGTGGGCTCAAGAGAAAGAGGCAGTTAGTACCGCATTAGTACACTTAATTCAAATAATGCTGAAACTCACACAAAATAAACGAAAGCAGTACATTCATCATAGTCGGTCTCCAACAACGCTCCCCACCGGTTCCAACTCTTTCTGGCCGCTGATAGACCGATGCTTTTCACATAAGGAAAAGCTAGGTTTCTGGTCTACCTTTGAAGGCATTATAAAGCACTCAAACACAGGACTTGTATATGTATTGTGTCTAATCTATTTCGGACAAATTATTTTTATCTAGATAAAACATTTCTATGGTTTTGACAGATGGGATCCCAACAAACAATTAGTGCTGATTAAGGGCGGAATAAGCTATTTTTTAGCTGAAGAAGCATATTTTTGCCTGAATAGGCTCTTATTCCGCTTCCAATGTTTGTTGGGATCGCTGCACATTTGAATCGGCCGTTATGGTTTCTAGATCGAGAGTAAAGTTTAAGTTTCATGTCGGTTTGTCGGTGCCAATGCTACTGCCGCCAGGGAGCATAACTATTCAATTCGACGTATCTGATTTTGTAAACAATCACTTCAATCAACGATTTGTGGCAACTGCAAGCTCACTCACAGAAACTAACAACACCTGCTAATACGGGAAAGATTCCCCTAGCTGATGATGGTGTTTGTTTGCGTGGGTGAGTTAGCAGTTAATACAAATTGTCGATTGTAGAGATTGTTTACAAAAGCAGATACGTCGATTTGAATAATTACGCTTGATTTACTTCTAGATTTACTTTATAAATTATACCACAGAGAACAGACGTTGAGGCTCGAACAAGATTTCTCTAAAAACTAGTGTAAAGATTCCTATTCCACTAACGGCGACTTCCCCACTTAAAACCCCTCTTTGGCAACCTGATGGCGCTGCCGTTGCACAATTTACACTAGACACTAAGGGCTGGTAGCGCCAAGTGGCAATTTTCAACAGAAAATTTATCGATACTAACGCCAAATTGGTCGAAAGTGGAAAATTTATAGAGGAAATCAGGAGATGTTAGCGCTACGTAACGACGACGTTCCCACTTATTTTTTACACAAGTTTCTAGTAGAAGTTGGACGTCTGTTCTCTGTGATTATACATTCACCTGGCAATAACCATAAAAGGCACTTAACCACTATGTGGTATGGTCGCACCATCTATAATATCGTTTGTGTGTGGTACCCGTTTATAAGAACAGATATCATCGCAGATTATCTGCAAAAAAAAAAATGACGATGGGATTTTTTTATGCGAGAAAACAGATTTAAATTTGGCAACCCTGCTCCTCGGCTCACACCCAGAGCTGCCAGGTGGTTTTATAAAAAATCTGTATCCACTCTATTAAAAAATCTGTATTTTCTGTATTGACGATTTTTTTCTTAATTAATCATGTTTTGTTGTTTTACAAATACAGTGCATACAAAATAACCATAAAAAGTGCTTAACCACCTATTCGGGCTATCGTACTAACCATACGGGATATGATTGCGCCATTTGTGATATCGTCCGTACTTATTTATAAGAGTGATATGAAGCCGTTTGAAAATGTATGGAGATTTTAGTTTCTATTCATTATCTTCCTGATAAGCAGTTTTAAATGCAAAAAAGTGCACGAGTTCATTACTATTTGATATTTTTAATATAGATAAATACAATTAATTACATCATTTGTGTGGTAGTTACACCGAAAAGTCGAGAGATGTCGCCCCGCCAGTGCTGGTAAAATCATTTTTGCAGTATGGAGAATATCAGAAAATCCGCAATTTCTTACGAAATACATTTTCAATGCAAGTAAAATGTTTACGAGTACTTGTATTTGTACCATTTTAATGTGCTCGGGCACTTTTCTTGTATTTAACACACATGCTTATATTGGAAATATTCAATTAATACTGTAAATCCCCATACAATCTCAAATCGTTTACTACCAGCTCCATATGCATCCGAAAGCGGTTGGTCCTCTGGTTGTGAATGCTGTCAAAAACACAATAACATGATTAATTGTCGATGGAAATTTGATAGGTTCCCGAGCAGAGGGTGAGAACAAAATGAAAACAAGAATTATGTTGTTTTCATTATTCCTGATAACTCAAATTAATTTCATTTTGATGGAGTTGATGGCTAACAGAACAAAAATGAGAGCTAAAAGATATGCGAAGAATATCAAAATTATAACATATATTGGTATTAGTGAGAACTGCTTGATAACTTATTTTGATATAGATTTTTTTTTTTCTCAAGCATTTTATAAAAATCTGTATAAATCTGTATTGTAATTTAAAAATCTGTGATAAATCTGTATTCTGTATCGGGTCTGTATTAAGATTAAAAAATCTGTATAATACAGATAAATCTGTATAAATGGCAGCGCTGCTCACACCAGAAAAATAAGGGCTAATGCGGCGTCCGTGCTTCACGCGCTTCACGGCCTCCCCGATCTCTGTTAATGACAGCAGTTTGTTTATTGTGAATATCGCGAAGCGGCGTTGATCGCGCGTTCATTTAGGCAAAATTTCTAGATTATTTCCAATTTTTTTGATAATTTCGACTCGAAACGTGTGGCAAAATGGCGACGCCTAATTTCATATCGTTGCTGAAGCTGTTCACGGTAAGATTGCTCGCTGTGCGATGGTATTTTCCTAGGCATTTCGCGATCAAAAATTTCCTTCCTCCACAGGACACTCTGAACAGTTCGTACAAAGTGGACGACATCGATCAGCTGAAGGTGGAGTACGACGGCCAGAAGGGTTCCAGCGACTATGACAGGAAAGCCGCTCTGCATCAGGCCTTCCGGAACTTGCTGCTGACGAAAACGGACGACATCCCGGCGATTGAGGGGTTTATTAATTTCGCCGTTGCCGCCTGCCGGTTGGAGATGACCTCGGCGACGATTCCGGTCGTGCTGCTGGGGGATATTTTCGATGCCGTCACACTGGACAAGTGCGAGCAGATTTTTACCTACGTGGAGAATAATGTGGCCACCTGGAAGGAGGAGTTGTTTTTCACGGCTTGCAAGCACAATCTGCTGCGGATGTGCAACGATTTGCTGCGAAGGCTGTCCCGGTCGCAGAATACGGTTTTCTGCGGGCGCATTTTGCTCTTTTTGGCCAAGTTCTTTCCGTTTAGCGAGCGGTCCGGGTTGAACATCATTTCGGAGTTCAATCTGGAGAACATTACGGAATATGGCGTGGAGGGAAGCGAAATGGGCGATCAGTTGGATAGTTCGGAGGAAAACGGATCCGGCAATCAGCTGAAGATTGATTACAACTTGTACTGCAAGTTCTGGGCTTTGCAGGACTTTTTCCGGAATCCGAATCAATGCTACAACAAGGTGCAGTGGAAGACGTTTGCGGCGGTGAGTTTGAGAGTCGTATTCTTAATTTGTTTGTACTATTTGAAATGATTTCTGCTCGATTTCAGCATGCTGGAAGCGTATTGTCCGCGTTCAGTAGTTTCAAGTTGGAAGAGCCTCGATCTTCCAGCAGTAGTAGCAATGTAGGCAGCAGATCCGGTCCCACTGCAATGGACATCCCACCGGAGGAGCAAATTCGCGATTCGGGACACTTTTTCGCCAAGTTCCTAACCAATCCGAAGCTGCTCTCGTTGCAATTGTCAGATTCCAACTTTCGGCGATCGGTGCTGGTGCAGCTACTGATCCTTTTTCAGTATCTCAATTCGACCGTCAAATTCAAAGCGGACAATCATCTCCTGACACAGGTTCAGATCGATTGGCTGCGGGAAACGGAAACCACTGTATACAGATTGATTGACGAGTCCCCGCCCAATGGGAAGAAGTTTGCCGAGTCCGTGCGGCATATGCTTGCACGCGAGGAGCTCTGGAACAGCTGGAAGAACGAAGGATGTAAGGAATTCAAACGTCCGGAAGCAGGTGGAACGGCTGCTGCTGTTGCTGCTGCAGCAGCTGCAGCAGCAGCTACTGCTTCAGCTTCTGGCAGCGGCGAAGACGCATCGCCTCCGGTTCGTCTACCGCAGAAGCGCACCCGTCGCCCGCTCGGTGACCTGATACGAGATTCGACCAAGCAGGGCAAATTCTTCATGGGAAATCCGGAACTGACGCGGCTGTGGAATACCTGTCCGGACAATTTGCAGGCCTGCAAGGGAGAGGATCGGAACTTTTTACCCTCGCTGGAGGCCTATCTGGACGGTTCGAAGGAGAAGCAAGACCCGTCGTTCGAGTGGCGGGCGTTGCGTCTGTTGGCCCGCCAGTCACCGCACTTTTTCACGCTCTTCAACAGCCCGTCCTACAAGGTAGCCGACTATCTGGAGAGTGTGAGGAAGAAGATCCAGAAGGACAAGGTGGACATCAAACAGCAGGTGGTGCTGGAGGATGTTCCGTCGCAGAACGAGAACGAACAGAACGAAGCGGAAGGCGAGAGCTTCGTCGGCGAGGAGGAAACGGATCAGGTGAGTGTTTGGGTTTGACACCATGGGCCACAAATTGGTGGTTGGATTCGATGGTAGCTAATCAACGCATTAAACTTTTTCTAACCATTCTCCCAGATGGACTCGGAACTGCTGAAGACGGAACAGCTCACACCGGAGGACAAGAACACCCACAGAACCATCACCGTCACCAAGGAGCAGATGGCCGAACTGGCCCCGAGCATCGGTAAGGACTGGAAGAAGCTCGCCACCAAGCTCGGCTACAACGGGGACGAAATCCAGTACTTCGAGTCGGAAAATGCCACCGTCGGCGATCAGTGCCGCCATCTGCTGCAGGTGTGGTTCGAAGACGACATGGACGCCAGCCTGGATCAGTTGGCCTACATCCTGGAGGGGCTGGAGATGCTGACGGCAGCCGACGCGGTCAAGCAGATGATTGCCGCCCTGAGCGACGACAAGGTGGAGGAAGTGTCGGATGAGTAAGTCGGATTTTTCTTTCGCTTATAAGATTTAACTCTAGAGAATAGATCAATCATGGAAAGTATCCTAAGTTTGAACGGGAAAGTGCGTGCCGTCGGAATATCACATCCTTGAAGGTAGGGATCGTTTTCGAAGTGTAATCATGGACTCAATAGGAGCTAAGCTTTCGTACATATGGTTTATTTATTTATTTTTTTCACTGGTCGTGCACAGCCACAAACGGTTCGATTTCGATTTCCGTGTGTTTCGCATTTTTTTCTTTTTTTGCAATCATTAAGGCAATCGTCGCGACACGGTCGATTTATTAATAATTGTTACTTTTTGTCTCTGCGGTGTTAGGTCTCTTCGTTTATTTAATTGGGTAAAATGCGAGCATTAAATATGATGGTTTAATGATTTTGATTTTCGTTTCATTTTCAAAGTGTTAGAAATTGGTATGCAATTAATACAAGAGTTGCATTTCTGTCGGATTAAAAAAAATAATAATTATTAAATACATTCTCGTCTGAGGGATTAAAAATACCCAATGCAATGCAGCAGTTCTGTTAGTTAGATGAGTTAGAATCGCTTCGCTTTCGCGGTCGGTTTCGGTTTGTTGTGCATCATGGTGGCGCACTTGGGAATGTGTCGTTCGGCAGCGGACCGGTTGAAACGGCGAGAGCAGTGCGGACACTGCACGTAGTCAGGATTCTCCGAGGGCGGTGGCGGGGGCAAGTCGGAAAGCTTGCCGCCCTTGGCCAGGTAGGCTTTCAGCTCCTTGGCCGCCCGGATGGTTTGGATGAATTCCTCGTGCTTCCGGCGCCAGTCACTCTTTTTAGCATCGGCCGCGGCGGCAGAGGCAGCGGTAGCAGCCTTCGCCGTGGAACCTCCGGAAATGGATTTCTTACTCGCGCCAGCGCCAACCTTCTTCTTGAGGACATAATTCTCCGCATCGGTTCCCAGCACTCGGTGTTTGGTCGTGTCGTAGACCTTACGCTTCTTGGTCTTGGTCTTTTGGCAAATTTCCCGATGCTTGGCGATTCGGTCTTCGGCGAAGTTCCGTCCGCAGATGGTGCACCGAGCGAGACCATCCGGTACGGGACCATCCGGAATCGGGGGACTAGGGGCCGAAGTGGCTGATGGCTTCCGACTGATGGCACTGGTGGTCGCCATTGCTGACTTGCCGCCGGTTGATGCACGGGATGCTGCAGACTGCGGAAAATAGATGGAATGAAAATTAGAACTGACAGTTGGAACGAAGCTTTCGAGTGTAAAGCCTACTTTGGCGGAGTTGGCTTGGGAGTTGGATCGAGGGCTCGCCGTTGGTGAGGGGCTACTGGATGGGGATGATTGTGCTGCTGCTGCCCCTCCAGCTGCGGAGGTCTTCTTGGGAGCGGATTTTGCTGCTGCGGTCGTCGTCGTTGAGGGAGTTCTTCCCGGGACCGGTTTCAGCTTGAGGCTGTTCACGTTCTGCTGTTGACCGTTGAGTTTACCGACGTTCGAGAGCTTCCGAGCGATGGGCGATGGAGTCATCGTGAGGTCTTCGTCGAAGGAGATTGTGTCTGAAAGAGGGAGATCAAGACGGGTGAGTAGTTGCAAGATGTGGAATTTTGGAGACACAAGAGGAAGGACATTTTTGTTTTAGCTCGTCGTTTCATTTCAATACAGCTATTTGAGGTTGCTTGAGTTTCACTCCAGAATAGCTTGCATATCCTAGTGACTAAGGAGTAAATACAATTTTCAAAAATGATTTCCTCTGATACATCACTTCAGATTGCAAAACGCTCGAAATTGTTCCAGGAAACCCTCAATACTTTTAGTGTCGTTGAATAATATTTCTCCGCAAATTTTTAGTTTTAGCCGAATGTTACGAAAATTTCTGGAACTTTGCAACCTTCAGCTATCACTTGGGCTTGTGCGAAACTCAAGGAGAAATCCGCGATATAATAAAGACAAAGCGTTTGTAACATTTCAACATGTTTATTTCTCCATTGACAAAAACTAACTGACTCATAACAATATGGTCACTTTTTTATGTAGGGTTGTATGGAAGACATCATATCAAGAAGACAGGCAACTTTGCCAGAATCCAAGCGACAGATACAATAGCGCTGCTCTTGAGTGAAGGTGGAAGCAACACATAGAAAAATGAGCAAATACACAAACCTTTCTTCTGAGGATGTAATCTTTGCTATCAAATTCGTTCGAAGCATTTACCTTTGGGCGGCAGATGACGCGATTGTACCTGACTCATAGCGTTCGTATGAGAAAATGGAAGAGTTGCCAGTCTTCTCTATTTGTTGTCTTCGGTTGTATACAGGTGCTTACTGCTATCGAGTGTTGGCAGTGTGCACCACATAGTCCCCCCCTCAATTACACGAGGAACCTGTCCCTGTGTCCTGATGGTGTAATTTTGCGAAGCTGGTTACGGATGCTCACTAATACCTTGATCGCAAACGAAAACTGGCTTTATGCGATCTATAACAGCACCTCTATGATAAGACGGAGGGCGTCGGGTGCGTTTATGCGTGGACATGCGCAAGGCAAATACAACGATCATTCCACAACGACATATCACAACATTCATCACCTCTAAGGGGTACTTCCGTTTCCAAAGGTTAATGTTTGGAATGAATTGCGCCGCTGAGATTTTCCAGCGAGAGCGTGAGAAGATCCTTAAGGGCTTGGAAGGAGTTGTGCATCGACGACATTTTAGTTTCTCGGCGTACGAAAACCAAGCATGGCCGAAGCTGCGGTAAGAATGCGACTAAGAGATCATGGATTAACCGCGTGAACGAAGAAAAGTGTCAGTGGGGACAAAAGAGAGTGACGTTTCTAGGACACGAGCTATCTGAGGATGGTATCTTGCCAACGTCCAGAAACAGCAGAAGAGATGCGCAGCTTTTTAGGGCTCGCTAACTATGTGGGAAAATTCATCCCTCATCTATCCACTATCAGTGCACCGCTGCGTGCAATAGTACAAAAAGGAGTTCACTTCCAATGGACTAAGGAAGCGAACAAATCATTCGTCGAGATTAAGGATGCTCTGTCCAACCCGCGGCATCTCGGATTCTACAATGGCAACAGTAATACCACATTAGTTGTTGATGCAAGTGGGACAGATCTTAGGGCGGTGCTACTGCAAAGCGACAATGACAAACGACGAGTGATCAGTTATGCCAGTAAGAGTTTGTCAAGAACGGAGCAGAAGTATTCGGTGTTAGACAAAGAAGCGATGGCGATCTACTGGGGAATCGGACGTTCCGAAATGTACTTGAGAGGAAAAGATTTCACTGTGATCACCGATCATATAAGCCGCAGGTGAGAATATTCACCACCGACAGCACGACAGCAAAGATGGGTTCTGCAACTACAGGGATATCGTTTTAAGCTGGTGTATGCTCCTGGGAAAAGCAACATAGCCGGACCGTTAGCCGGACGATTAGCACAGCCGACGGCTGTGAAAGTGAACTATGTGCCACGATCGAAATTGCCTTACCGTCCGCGATGTCAATGACAGAAGTTATCCAACACTCAGAAAATGATGCCGAGTTTCGGAAAGTTTGCGATGCAATCTGTGGGAGTAGAATAACCACTGTTCGCCCCTCGCACTTTGTGCTACAGGGAAGAAAATAACACTACCTTGTTTTTGCAATTTCTTATATGCTTTGATCCGTAATGTCAGAATCTGTCCCCTAAAAGAAAACGTTATTAAATCAGTTCGAAAATTAACCTTCACGTGCGGTCGTTTTTTGATTTTGTTTGGATAAAAAAATCGATTTAGTGGCAGAAAAAGTGTGTGAACAGCTGATTTTCGACCAGAAAGTTTAAGTGGAACGGATTGCAAGGAGGTCGAGTGGTTCCGGTGTGATGGAGGGCCAGATGGCCGAACCGGCCGATCAAAAGTGCGGCGGTGGTTTCTAAAAGAGAAGCAGAAAAACTAGCTATAACCTAGAAAAAGTTAAGTGTCGGTGAAGAGTTTGATTCCGTAAGGTGTCACGGGGCAATAAGAATCATTCAAGAAATACATAGAGAAGAAAAAATATAAATTAAGTGAAGTGGCATTAGGATTTAAGTGAAGAGAAGATAGCAATTAAACGAAGAAAAGTAGAAGATAAAAGACGAAAGAAAAATCAAAAAGCAATCCGCAAAGAATGCAAGTGAAAGAAAATGAGCACGAAATCGCAAATTGAAACAAGGAAGCACTACAAGAATAAGGAGGTGAAAATGACGGCAACGGCGAAGGCCAAAAGAGGACAAGGTCCAACGGTATCGAAAGGAGGAGGAACATCCAAAGCAACAGAACACGGAAAAAACCCAGGAAACAGCAGCAACCAGCAGGATAACCAACAAAACGACACGGTGTACCTGGAGCCATGGGACTACGAGAAAACTACCATCAGACACCCAGTCAGTGTGGGTAAAGCCCTATCCAGTAAGGGAATCAAAACCTACACCGATATCACGGCGATTGGCAGGTTTCGATTCAAGGTATCGTTCGGAGCACCACAGGAAGCCAAAAAACTAATGGAGATCAACATGGAAGTGCTACGTCCCGATAATCCTCAGGCAGACAGTGGGTTTGGCTAAAGGAATACCGAGAGATTACAGCGAGCAAGAATTGATGGAAGATCTGTTGTCGGAGGGCGAAATCATCAAAGTGGAAAGGATGAAGAAAATGGATAGGAACAAGAAGCTAACGGATACGGAAAACGTCAAAATCATCTTCCGAGGAAAGCAACTACCAGACAGCGTGTCGCTATACGGATGCAGGTTCAAGATTGAACTCTACCTGTTCCCGGTGAAGCAATGCTCAAACTGTTGGGGATTTGGACCCCAGAGAGAAAAATGCTGGAGGACAACAAAATTTAAGGAATGCGGCGTTCAACACGAAGACGACAACTGCAGGCAGAAAGCATGCATCAATTGCGGAGGTCCGCACAGTCCGACGGATAGCAAGTGCCCAGAGAAGGAAAAACAGGTACAAATCAACGCGGGAATGCAGTTGGAAAAATTGACGTACAAGGAAGCAAACGAGAAATGGAGACAGGCTAATCAGTTCGACTTGCTGTCGAATTTCGACGAGGAATTTCCAGATATGGGTGAGCAGCGAGACGAGCAGTGTCGCTCGCAGAGAAACGCAAACAGCAGTCAATACAAGTTCGTGTGGAAAAAAATCAGGGTGGCCAGCAAACCGGGAAATCCGGGAATACCGGGAAATATCCGGGAATTTGGAAAGTAACCGGGAAAACCGGGAAAAACCCGTGAATTCTGCAAGAGAACCGGGAAAATAAATTAACCATATCATAGGAACAAATTTTTACATCAGAATTTCAGAATAAACCATTAAAACAGAGTGATCCTTTAGCAAATGAATGTCTTGCTCTATTTGTTGCATAATTTTCTTCAGTATACCGTCTTATTGTTTTTAGAATTTAATCACTCAGCAATATTGCAAATTGATTTTTGTCGTTTCAATTTCAGATGTAAAGTGCATGGTCCTCTAAAGAAAATATTGAAGATGCTGGAGTTTGGAAACAAATATTTGTAAAAACCGAAACTGAATTATTCTTCTCCGGGGTTTTAATTTTTCGTTGTTCAAAATTCTCATGATGAATTCCAGAATTAACTTGGAATTCTGCTCTGAATTATCTTGAAATTGTTCTGAAATAAACCAGAAAACACTCCGCGTAATAATTACTGTTGAATTCTTTTAGGAATTTTCTTCCAACCCCTTCTAAGAATTTATTGGAATCCTTCATATAATTCCCGTTCCCGCCTATCCGGAGACTTTGATTCCTTAAAAAATCTTTTCAAACATTTCTTTTAACTCTATTCAAAACAAAAGAAATCTTTCGAAAATTGATTTATAAACCCCTTGGAGTATTTTGAAGAATTTCTTTCTAATTATCAGCAAATTTTTTGGAATCAATTTTGTTTGGGTTATGTGATGAATCATTCGCACTAGGGTTGAAATTATTGCCAGAACATTTTAAGAACTCTGTTTCTTGTTGAATTCCGATCATAATTCTCTTGGAATTCTTCTTAAAATTCATCTGTCATGTTCCTCACGATGCCCATACAAATCTCATCAGAACCACGTAGGAATTTTCTGCAATGTTTTATTTTTATTTTCTTAATTCTTTTTTAAATCTACTAAAATTACCTAACAGTTTAACTTTAGAGATGAACTAGCCTAAGGCTAAAAATCTCTTAAATAAAGAATTAAAAAAAAAAACCTAACAGTTTAATTTAGAACTTGCATTCTTCTCCAAAGAAATCCTTCCAAATTCATCTAACAATTTCTATGGATTTCATGTAAGAATAATTCTGGAAATCTGCTCTTCTCCTTCGAAAACTGTGTGGGAATCCTTCTCAATATTTGTTTTTAATCAACACTTTGAATTCTTTTAAATTTTACTAAAAATTCCAGGGTTTGTCCGCCAGATTCTACAGATTGCTATGTAATTTGTTATTACCCTTAAAATGCTTCCAAGTCTCAGAGCGTGACCATTATGACTCCACGACTCATAAGTATGATGTTTTTTTTTTTATAAATCTG